GAGGCGACGGCAGCCGACCCAGGCGATGGCAGCCGACCCAGGCGACGGCAGCCAACCCAGGCGACATGAAGGCGACGGCAGCCGACCCAGGCAACATGGAGGCGACGGCAGCTGACCCAGGCAACATGGAGGCGACGGCAGCCGACCCAGGCAACATGGAGGCGACGGCAGCCGACCCAGGCAACATGGAGGCGACGGCAGCCGAACCAGGCGACATGGAGGCGACGGAAGCCGAACCAGGCGACATGGAGGCGACGGAAGCCGAACCAGGCAACATGGAGGCGACGGAAGCCGAACCAGGCAACATGGAGGCGACGGAAGCCGAACCAGGCGACATGGAGGCGACGGCAGCCGACCCAGGCGACACGGAGGCGACGGTAGCTGAACCAGGTGACATGGAGGCGACGGCAGCCGAACCAGGCGACATGGAGGCGACGGCAACCGAACCAGGCGACATGGAGGCCACGGCAGCCGAACCAGGCGACATGGAGGCGACGGCAGCCGAACCAGGCGACATGGAGGTGACGGCAGCCAAACCAGGTGACATGGAGGCGACGGCAGCCGAACCAGGCGACATGGAGGCGATAGCCGACGACCCAGGAACCTCAGGAGCACAGGGCTCAGCAGGAGACCCAACAGGAACCAGAGCCGGAGGACCCACAGGAACCAGAGCCGGAGGACCCACAGGAACCAGAGCCGGAGGGCCCACAGGAGCCAGAGCCGGAGGGCCCACAGGAACTAGAGCCGGAGGGCCCACAGGAACCAGAGCCGGAGGGCCCACAGCAACCAGAGCTGGAGGACCAGCAGGAGCAGGAGGTCCAGCATCAGAGGGGTGGGGAGGGTGGGACTCAGAAACACCCAGAGCTGCCAGCTCTGAYGGACACCCTGAAGAAAAGAGTCCCCTAAGGCCAGCTAGCTCACCCTGCATCCCCTCCAGGAGCCCCAGGATCTTAGAGAGGGGAAAAGCTGGCAAAGCACAAGTTGTAGGTGGAGAGGAGAGAAAATGCCTGCTGGGTTCATTTGTTGGTCTGATCATTCTGTTATGATTTTCAGGCAGGAATGAACCCATAGTGCAGGCAGCTTCAAAAAGGAAAAAATAAAGATTTATTAAACAAAAAGGTGCTGACGGGGCAAACAGGAGGAAGAAAACAGATGACAAGACAGAAACTAAAATAAAACATTAATACAGACAACAATCATAACTGTCCTCGGCAAATCCAAATCTTGGATGATGCCAAAAATCCAGATGTTTTTGACAACACCAAAAATGCAAGTGTCAGTTTCCTGCCACTTACCAACAGGATAAGACAATATAGCTATGTTTACTGTCTGACAAATTCATTATAGAAATATTATAATACTGTTCCTACACAAAAACTGATTCCTTTGTTTTTTTCTCAAAGTCTTTATCTCCAATCATTATTAAACTGACTTCACTGATTCTTGGTTCGTCATTTCCACAGGACAATGAGTTCCTTTTACCTGAAAAGTCAGCCACACATTTTTTTATTTTATTTTGGTTTTGATTGTTTCTTACAATAACTAAAAGTCCACAGTAACTCTCGCCCTCTATTGTTTTGTAAAGAACAACCTTATTGAAATCTTTTACAAATGCACTCTATCCCATTTTTACCATACCACAAAAACAATACTTTCTTTTTTTTACATCTAATTTGAAGTTTTACATTTGCCCTCTAAGTGAAGTTTACATGAGGAATGCTGTAAAAGTTGCTGCCAGAGGGCAGAAACTTACCCAGATGTGTTTCCTTTGGAAAGTTGGACGTTGCCATGACCTCATCCAACAAAATGTTTGTTTGGTTTTAAAAAACTAAAACAAATTTGTGTTGTGCAGAAGTATTTATTTAGTACAAAAAATAGATCACGTGCATGCAGGCGGAAGAATCGGTCCGAGTACGGCTGATTCCCGTTAGCCAAATGAAAACATAGCATTAATGGACTGCTGCAATTTGATGGTAAACTGGTTCAGTAAAAGTAAAAAACGTCTGACTTGTCCACATACAAAAAAAACTATTTGGGTTTTGATACTTGCCCACATGAAAATCCAAAGACTAAGGTTTAGTGAAAAACATTTAAACCAATTTTATTAAATGAGTGCAAAAAAAGGTTTACATTAACAGATCCTTAAGAGCTAAAATACCATTAACAAAATCAATTTTATTGTAATCAAAAACAGATAAACTTTTTTTAATAGAAAAGGGTGCACTGAAGGTTACAAATCATATACTCTTTTGTACTCTACCTAAAAAGTAAAATTCCAAAAAACATAAGCGACTACTAATGCAAGTGTCCCTACTCTGTAATAATTTGCAGCAAAAAGAATCAAAATGCTTCTCTGCTTGTACTCTCAAGATTATAAGCCAGAAAAATTGAAGAAAAAAAAGAATACAATACTATAAAAAACAATAAAACACAGGAATACAGTAAGCTTGCTTCATTTTCAACTTCTCAACTCTTTAAAGTCCATCTTCATTTCTAATCTTGGACCACTGTCATTTGGTTTTGCTAAATTGCTGAATTTCCTGTCTCGTCCTGATCAGAAAGGGGGTTTTCTGATTAAAGGTCTAGCCTTCACCTGTTGACCCATGTAAATTTGAAATCTTCTATCCCTCCAGGGTGCATTAGGAGATCTGGACCCACAGTGTTTGTTTTTAAACCCAGCCACAGCAGACTGGTTTAGGGTCAGACCTTGGTTACAGACACCTTCCGATGAAGGATCGCTTCTGTTGAAATCTCCATGTGAAGCACTTACTCCAAATGTATGAGGTCTTCAAGTTTTAGAAGACCTTGGGGTGGCTGTGGCGGCGTGGATAGGGGAGTTGTCCTGGATCTGGAAGGTCACTGGTTGGATCCACTGTCCAGCCATTTCAGTCATTGTGTCCTTGAGCAAGGCACCTTACCCGCCAGGGTAAAGTGTCTCTACTGATGGTGGTCAAAGTGTCTGGTGGGGCCGGTGCATGTTAGCATTGCCTCTGTCAGTGCGCCCCAAGGCAGCTGTGGCTATAGCTAACCACCATCATTGTGTAAATGTGTGTGTGAATGTGGTTACAGACTTGGTTACAGACACCTTCCGATGAAGGATCGCCTCTGTTGACATCTTCATGTGAATAACTTACCCTACCCCAACTGTCTGAGGTCTTCTAGTTTTAGAGGAGCTTGGGGCAGCTGTAGCAGAGAGGATAAGGGAGTCGTCCTGGAATCGGAAGGTCACTGGTTCGATCCCATCCAGCCGTTTCAGTCACTGTGTCCTTGGGCAAGACACGTCACCCACCTTGCCTAAGAATGGTGGTCAGAGGGTCTGGTGGTGCCGGTGCATGTCAGCTCCGCCTCTTCTGATGAAGGATCGCCTATGACGACATCTCCATGTGAAGAACTTACTCCAACTGTCTGAGGTCTTCTAGTTTTAGAAGACCTTGGGGCGGCTGTGGCGGAGTGGATAGAGGAGTCGTCCTGGATATGGAAGGTCACTGGTTCGATCCACTGTCGAGCCATTTCAGTCATTGAGTCCTTGGGCAGGACTCCTTACCCGCCAGGGTAAAATGTCTCTACTGATGGTGGTCAGAGGGTCTGGTGGTGCTGGTGCATGTCAGCATCGCTTCTGTCAGTGTGCCCCAGGGCAGCTGTGGCTGTAGTTTTCCTCCATCAGTGTGTGAATGTGGGAATACCTTGGTTACAGACAACTTCCGATGAAGGATTGCCGCTGTTGACATCTTCACGTGAAAAACTTACCCTACCTCAAGTGTCTGAGGTCTTCTAGTTTTAGACGAGCTTGGGGCAGTTGAAGCCGAGTGGATAGGTGTGTCGTCCTGGAACCGGAAGGTCACTAGCTCGATCCCCCGTCTGGTTCAATCCCCCATCCAGCCGTTTCAGTCATTGTGTCCGTGGGCAAGACACTTCACCCACCTTGCCTACTGATGGTGGTCAGAGGGTCTGGTGGCGCCGGTGCATGTCAGCCCTGCCTCTGTCAGTGTGTCGCAGGGCAGCTGTGGCTGTAACTTACCTCCATCAGTGTGTGAATCTCTCCATGGTGCATTAGGAGATCTGGATCCAGAGTTTTTGTTTTTATTTCCAGCCACTGATTTAGGGTCAGACCTTGGTTGAAGACACCATCCGAAGAAGGGTCGCCTCTGTTGACATCTCCATGTGAGGTACATATCCCAAAGGTCTGAGTTGTTCTAGTTTTATGAGAATCTCTTTCCACATGTCTAGCCTTCACCTGTTGACCCATGTAGGTTTGAAATCTCTTGCTCCAGCATGTGTTAGGGGAGCTGGACCCAGAGTTTTTGTTTTTATATCCAGGGCAATAGACTGGTTTAGGGTCAGATCTTGGTTGAAGACACCATCTGATGAAGGGTCGCCTCTGTTGACATCTCCATGTTAAGTACTTACCCCAAATGTCTGAGATCTTCTAGTTTTAGGAGAATCTCTCTAAACAGGTCTAGCCTTCACATGTTGACTCATGTAGGGTTGAAATATTCTCTCCCTCCAAGCTGCATTAGGCGAGCTGGGCCCAGTGTTTTTACTTTGATATCCAGACACAGCAGACTTGTTTAGGTTCGGACGTTGATTGAAGACACCATCCGATGAAGGGTCGCCTCTGTTGATCTCTCCATGTTAAGTACTTACCCAAAATGTCTGAGATCTTCTAGTTTTAGGAGAATCTCTCTCAACATGTCTAGCCTTCACATGTTGACTCATGTAGGGTTGAAATATTCTCTCCCTCCGGGTTGCATTAGGCGAGATGGGCCCAGAGTTTTTACTTTGATATCCAGACACAGCAGACTTGTTTAGGTTTGGACGTTGATTGAAGACACCATCCAATGAAGGGACGCCTCTGTTGACATCTCCATGTTAAGTACTTACCCCAAATGTCTGATATCTTCTAGTTTTAGGAGAATCTCTCTCAACAGGTCTAGCCTTCACATGTTGACTCATGTAGGGTTGAAATATTCTCTCCCTCCGGGTTGCATTCGACGAGCTAGGCCCAGAGTTTTTACTTTGATATCCAGACACAGCACTTGTTTAGGTTCGGACGTTGATTGAAGACACCATCCGATGAAGGGTCGCCACTGTTGATATCTCTATGTGAGGTATGTACCCTAAATGTCTGAGATCTTCTAGTTTTATGAGAATCTCTCTCTACAGGTCTAGCCTTCACAAATTGACCCATGTAAGTTTTAAATCTTCTCTTGCTCCAGAGTGTATTAGGAGAGCTGGACCCAGATTTTTTGGTTTATATCCAGTTGCAGCAAATGGGTTTAGGGTCAAACCTTGGTTGAAGACACCATCTGATGAAGGGCTGACATCTCTATTGGATGTGTATGCCCCACAAGTGCAAAGTCTCTTATTTTCAGGAGGATTTTGCCTCAAGTTTTGACCTTTGTCTCTCTCTGTTCCCATGCTGCTTGGAGAGGCTTTATTTTGGCTGCCAGCTCTAGACAAGTTCTGAAATGAACTCTGACAGTTTGTCAAAGATTGTTTTCTTGTTGATTGCAGGAAACACACGGTGAAGGGTAAGGCATTGTTTTGTTCAGCTACAGCATCCACAGCCACCCAGTGGTCATGCATATGGTGGTGATAAATTCTTTTCGCTTTCAGGCAATCTCTCAGCCTTCCCTCCACCTGCATGTCAAGGTGGTTGCTGTGGTGGGCCACAGGTACTGACTCATTCAAGCGCTCCAGCAACTTCGATTGTCCACGATCAATAGGGACTCTTGTTTGGAATCCGACCGTGTCGGATAGTAGCGATAGTTGGCCAGGTGGCTGGGTCACCCAAAACGTCATCTAGGAATTTCTTTCCATTAGCGTTGTACATTTGTAAACGACTCTCTTGTGAGGGTTTTCTTTCGCCTTCGACCCATTTTCTTGATCTTAGAGGTGGCTCCTGAGACTCACACTCATGCTCATTCTTACTGTCTCTTCTGCCATGAAACTTTGAAACAGGTCTTTTGTCACAGTAACAGTCTAGAAAAAAATGTTAAAAATAGCCATTACATTCTAGCTCTGTCCTGCCCATCAATGTAAAGTTGGTTCGCTCTAACTCTGCCCATTTATTATAGCCTGCATGTGTTTTTCTACAGCCCTCTGCATGGTCCATCCGAATGTGCGAAATCCGCTCTCTTGAGGTAGTTGTGTGACGAAAATCGCCTCGCTTTGTTCTTAGCTTCATGCTCTTCTTGGCACAAGAACCTGGACGACCTTTTCACCCACTTCGCTATACGAAATTGTTGTGTAATTGGTCAATTTATTCTGAAAAGTGCTGACATTTTGCTTCAACCATGCTGCTTGCATAAGTTGACTGTTGTATGCTCAAACAACATGGATAGTTTTTTGAGCAGTTGTCCAAGGCAGTCAGAAAGTATGTCCATCGCACATGTAGATGGTCAAATGGCCAAAAACTCAACGGATGGAGAGAACACAAATGTTGAGCATAGAGGAATAAATTTGCCCAAAAATTTAGCACTCTGTAAAAAATTTGCAGCCAAAGGGCATATATCGGAGAAAACCATGCTGTGACCTGTACAACAGCTGGAAAGGTTTTCCCAGGACCTCGGCGCTGTGGACTCTAAAATGTGTGTGCGAAAACAAAAGCAGAGCAACCACGTGATCAAGTGTCAACTGTTTGGTTTCGGATGGAGCACGCTGTGCCCTTAAAGCCTGAAACATCCTCGCTCTGAAGCCGACCGGTCGACGCGCGGTCACGTGGTTGTTCGGCATTCATTTTCGCACAGACCTTTCATAGCTCCAGAGACACACCGCGCCGAGCTCCTGGGAAACCCCTCCCGCTGCAACATACGTCACTGCATGGAGTTTCTTCCCACTACAGCTGACAATGCAGAAAAAAAAAGTCAGACTCGTCACTCACCCGACATCTTTATCCACATCTGTCCTGGTTAAAGCTCCACAGTTTTTATCAGATTCCTCTGTGCACAACATCTGTTTAATCTCCATTCATGAGTTTTTCACGGTTTGACTATCCTTATAAAACTCTGCTTCCTGGTAACAGTCGGTTCTGGGAGCGAGTCATTTTCATTTTTTTATTTTAATTTTACCGAGCGAACCGTCCAAGCGCTTTCAGCACAAACAAACACGCCCACTAACTTCAGACCAATCACACATTACCGTCATCGCTGGAGGGGAGTAAAAAGTTTCGCCGGCGGGTTGTGCCAAAAGCGCCGTCCGAGCCGACGCTGCGAACACCAGTAACGTAATTTTCATCATGAAACTGCAACAACCCGTGCCGACGTCGGCAGTTCGGAGGGAGTATGAAGAGGCCTTAAGTCAGGAGCAACTGCTATCAGGTAAAAATATGTTGCTACACAACACCACTGTTTACTGAATTAAAACAGAACACAAAAAACTACCATTAGTTTAAAGACTGTTGATTGCATTCAAGCTTTGACCTCCTAATTTCAATTTGGTTGAATATATAAATTTTAACTTTTCTATAAACTATCATTTTTAAAAATATATGTATTTCTGTGTACAAAATATGTATTTCTAAAAAATTTTTTCGTTTTGTGTTTAAATTGTTGACAAAATACATAAAAAAATAAATACATTTACTGAAAGCTTGAGAGTCCAACATAAGAGAAACAAACCTCTTAATTCAGCTTCTAATTAACCAAGCAACTAAGTCTTTATCAACATTTATCTTCTGGTTGAATAGCTCTTTCAAAGTAAACTCAACTATTTAAAGTGGCAGCTTAAACTTTATTTTTAGTGCACAGAGATGTGCCATTGTTAACTCCATTAGCACTTTCCTGTGATTCATATTTAAGGACCACAGAAAGAAATTTTGATTTTTCAACGCATTGAATACAAATCAAGCTAAAAATCAATTCAATAAGTGTTGAGTCCCTACGTACATTCTAAGAGGGCACAACAATTTAAACTGGGACTTGTATTTTTATGATTTGATCTGTACATATAGATAGAAGATGGCAGCTTAAAAATGTCAAGTACACAAAAAGTGAATAAAATGTAACTGCATCACCACACTTCTACTGTTTAAGACCAAAACTGATTGAGTTTTTAACAAATGGTTTACCAAAACTTACTTGTCTCCCTTTGATCTTCTTGCTCAAAGCCACTGTGAAGAAGAGTAAAAAATGGAGTAAAAAAAGAAGAATTTTGTTAAATGATTAAATTTACAGATTATATACAAACATTTTTATAGTTCTTACAGATTTTATATTGAGGCAGGAGACTTTCTATCTCCTCTCCGACAGTCAATGAGGAATCTACAGCAGCTGAAGAAGCGAATAAAGAAGCAGCTGCAGACGGCAGCTTTTTGATTTCATTTATGGTGGTTGGATCTTTCTTGGCAGGTGCAGATAATTCAGTTGACAAGGCTGAGGTTTTGTTGACGGTGTCTGAAGTTGAATTTGTTTCAATTTCAACAGTCAAAAGGCCTAAAAAATAATAAAGAAACAAATATTACCAAATACCTAAACTTTACGTTCTTGAGTTAGATGCATTTCTCATCCCTTTTATAAAAGTTGAATTGCTTATAAATTAAAAATGGTCTTTTGTTAAACTTTAAGACCAATTGGATAAGGTTTCGAGTTGGGACCTACAAACACCATGAATAAATGTTTATCTGCTGAGAAAAATATCTGCTGAGAAAAATACCTGCTGAAGCTGAAGTCTCCTCAGAGGGCGGACATGAAGACACTGTGGTGGTTTCTGCTGTACAGGTCAAGACCGTATTTATAGGTTCTGCAGATCTTTTCTCAAGCTTTGTTTCAAATGTAGAAACAACTGGAGGGTTTGTTGTGGTCTTTATTTCAGTTCTTGAAACATCAGGAGGGTTTGTTGTGGTCTTTATTTCAGATCTAGAAACAGGAGGGTTTGTCGTGGTCTTTATTTCAGTTCTTGAAACATTTGGAGGGTTTGTCGTGGTCTTTATTTCATATCTTGAAACATGAGGAGGGTTTGTCGCGGTCTTTATTTCAGTTCCTGAAACATCTGGAGGTTTTGTTGTGGTCTTTATTTCAGATCTTGAATCATTTGGAGGGTTTGTTGTGGTCTTTATTTCAGATCTTGAAATATGAGGAGGGTTTGTCATGGTCTTTATTTCAGTTCCTGAAACATTTGGAGGTTTTGTCGTGGTCTTTATTTCAGATCTTGAAATATTTGGAAAGTTTGTCATGGTCTTTATTTCAGACCTTGAAACATTTGGAGGGTTTGTCGTGGTCATTATTTCAGTTCTTGAAACATCAGGAGGTTTTGTTGTGGTCTTCATTTCAGATCTTAAAACATCCGGAGGTTTTGTCATCTTTATTTCAGTTCTTGAAATATTTGGAAAGTTTGTAGTGGTCTTTACTTCAGTTTTTGAAACATCTGGAGGTTTTGTTGTGGTCTTTATTTCAGATCTAGAAACAACAGGTTTTGTTGTGGTCTTTACTTCAGATCTTGAAACATTTGGAGGGTTTGTCGTGGTCTTTATTTCAGATCTTGAAACATTTGGTAAGTTTGTCATGGTCTTTATTTCAGATCTTGAAACATTTTGGAAGTTTGTTGTGGTCTTTATTTCAGTTTCTGAAACATCTGGAGGTTTTGTCGTGGTCTTTATTTCAGATCTAGAAACATCAGGAGGGTTTGTTGTGGTATTTATTTCAGATCTTGAAACATTTGGTAAGTTTGTCATGGTCTTTATTTCAGATCTTGAAACATTTGGTAAGTTTGTTGTGGTCTTTATTCTAGTTTTTGAAACATCTGGAGGTTTTGTCGTGGTCTTTATTTCAGATCTAGAAACATCAGGAGGGTTTGTTGTGGTATTTATTTCAGATCTTGAAATATCCAGAGGGATTGTTGTGGTCTTTATNATTTATTTCAGATCTTGAAATATCCAGAGGGATTGTTGTGGTCTTTATTTCAGATCTAGAAACATCAGGAGGGTTTGTTGTGGTATTTATTTCAGTTCTTGAATCATCCAGAGGGTTTGCTATGGTCTTTAATGCAGATCTTGAAACATCTAGAGGCTTTATCTTGAACTTTATTTTAGATTTCCATTCATCATAAGAACATTGAGGACTCTCGTGTGGTTCATCTATCACCACTGGTGGTTTGGTGCAGACATCCGATGTGTTTCCCAAGTCTATCATGATCTTACTGGTGTCTTTCAGCCGCTGTTTTAGGAGATTCAAGCTGAAATTTATAAAAACAATTAACCTTGATTAAAAGGAGAACTTAAAATAGTTATTCAAGATCAATTTTATGAATCTATAAATTATGCTGTCCAGTGTAATTTATTTTCTAAATGAAATGTTGCCTAATTTTTAATAAACTAAAGTTATTAAACTAGTCTAACCAGTTTCGTAAACAGCTTTACTCTGATTTAATCCATAATTGATTTTAGATGCATTAAGTCCTTATGTGGCCATGATTTAACACCAAAACTAATACGACAAGTTTATTTTTTGACTTTGATAAACAAACAAACAAATTAATACTTACGACTCAACATGTCGAACTTTGCTCCTGTCATAGGAAAAAAGGAGTTGGTTAAACAATAAACAACACCATGCAAAAAAATAATTTCTTCATAAAATATTATCTCATGAGAGAAAAAACTCAAACAAAATCCTCCAAATCAAACTGAGCACCAACAGATAAATGACATGAATGGATTAGATCAAATGTTGAACCTACAGAAGCAGCGTTCACCAAAAAAAAAAAAAAAAACTTATTAAAACGGTTTTGCACACAGATTTGGCCTAATAAAATAAAGCTCATAGGTCAGTACTAAAGTCAGAAATCCCACCTGGTCTGAATCATTTGTTTGTTTGTCTGCTTTGCTTTCTAGGAGTTTAAACCCTCACTGCAAGAGTTTTTCAGCTTCCAAATATGTTTATTTTTAGCTGAGTAGATATAAAAGTCAAAGTAGTTCCACTCTGGTGTGGCAAACTATTGATTTACTTTGATGCTGTCTCTATAAAACTTAAAAGCATACCAGGTTTTGTGCGTAGATAAATCCTGCTTCAAGGAAACCAGCTCCAGAACGTTCTGTACACAGCGGGATTCCACCATCTCGATGCAAATCTGAGGGTAAGAAGTGAAGGTGCACATAGATTTGTTAAACTCTTTAATAAAGACATAAAACAAGCAATAAAAATCTAAATATTTTAAATTTCTATTTTTTAAAGATTTTATTTTATCATTCAAAGCATGTGTCTTAATATATTGATGAACTTATTTTACTCTGGCAGCTATAAGCTATTCAACAAAAGCTGCAGACATTATTAAAAACAGAAAATAAAGTTTTGTTACTCATAATTTAGGTTAAATGAGGCTAATCATGTAAACGTGGCAGGTGTTTGTGTTTTCGTACCCTGTTGGCGAGCGGCAGGAAGTTGATGAAACAACCAATGGAAGCCACTTCCTTCATGACGTTACTGACGAGGTCTGCGCTCGTTTCAGAGAGTTCCAAACAAAGCAGCCGCTTCTCCAGAAACTCCAACTTTGGAACGTGCTGAAAAGAAAAAGGGTAGCTCGATTTCAGAAGGGACATTTTACAGATCGACTGCAGGATATTTTTGAATTTTTACTAAACTTACAGCGTTGCTCCATTTCATAAAAGTTCTGTACATGATCTCCTGCAAAAAACACAAATTTTAACATACATAAGCATTTTTTTAATTTAATTCAGAACATGTTTATTTATATAAATACTATCAAATATGCTTTAAAATAGCTGGTAAAGACATTTTTGTAAATTTTTACAGTAAGATAAAATCAGAAAAAAATTTTAAACCACATATTTACTCAACAAACTCAAAGATAAATTAAAAAACTAACATCTGTTCCCTGACCCCAGTTTCCATACCTCACTGGGTTTGTAGCGCATGTCCTGTAGGACGAAGTGGACTTTGAGAGCGCAGTTCCCAACAGAAAACGGCTTTTTGACATGATCGCGAACAAAACTGCAGCAAGTCTCCCGGTCGCTGAAATAAACGAAGGCCTAAAGACGAGGAGAGCAGAAAGAAAACTTAAGAAACCTTTAAATTTAGGGATCAATCTTTCTCTAAACAAAAAAAAAGGACTCAAACCTAAACAGTCAGCACTTAAAATATAAGATTTATAATCATTTTCATTTAAAACAGCAACATAGACTAATGTATTTCAGGGCTCGGTGGATGTTTTGCGCTGTTTCGTGCTGTGAGATTACCTATGACCATTCCATCTCTGTTACATGCTCTGCTGTTTTCAATCAGTTCGAGCTCGTCACCATGGCTTTTTTAAACGGATCTCTGATTAGTTGTAACATTAGATTTTATTTGATAAACATTTATTTTAACTGTAAAATAAAGACTGTAAAAATACTGTAGGCTGTTTGGTTTTGTAATTTTTAAAATATATTTTAACACGGACGGAGCCATTTTATTTACACACAAAAGCATTCTGGGTAAATGATGACGTGGATAGGTCCTCGGTGTCAGCAAGCTATATCCACCCTGAAGGTTAATCTTGGACAATATCTGATGATCGACTCTTTTAAATGAAACCAGAGAGCGTTGACAGAGAGGAGAAGGTAGAAATGACTCAGCCTGGAACTGAAAATATGGATGGAGGACAACAGAGCTGCTTCATGGAAGAAGAACCTCAGCTTAGCCTGTTAGCCTTTGTGCTAGCGCCGACGTATATTGCCTTATTTGTATTACCTCGGCGCTAGCACGACAAACAAGCTGAACTGAGGTCCTCCATCCATATTTTCGGTTACAGGCTGAGTCATTTTTGCGCTCCCCTCTCTGTCGTGTGGATGGAGGACCTCAGTGATGAGAGGAGAATGTGTAGCGTTGAGCTAATAATAAATATATATAGTGATAGCGTTGGGGCTAACGCTAAAGCTAACAGGCTAAGCTGAGGTTCTTCTTCCATGAAGCAGCTCTGTTGTCCTCCATCCGTATTTTCAGTTCAAGGCTGAGTCATTTCTACCTTCTCCTCTCTGTCAACGCTCTCTGGTTTAATTTAAAAGAGTTGATCATCAGATATTGTCCAAGATTAACCTTCAGGGTGGATACAGCTCGCTAGCAGCCTCGCACCGAGGACCTATCCACGTTATCATTTACCCAGAATGCTTTGTGTGTAAATAAAACGGTCCCGTCCATGTAATATATTTTTAAACTTTCAGTTTAAAAATGATAAAAACTAAACAGCCTACAATATTTTTACAGTCTTTATTTTACAGTTAAAATATAGTTTATTAAATAAAGTCTACTGTTAAAACTAATCAGGGATCCCTTTATAAGAGATTATTAGTCGTATGAAGCCTGCTGGGTCTTCAAAAGATCCAAATCCACCTTGTCTTTTAAAAGAGGTTTTTATCACTGTGGCACCTGATGTGTGCAATATTATGAATGTCAGTTTAGCAAATGGACAAGTACCAGTGAGTTTTAAACATGCTGTGGTGACACCACTGATTAAAAAGCCTGGCCTGGACTCAACCATAATGTCAAATTTTAGGTCAATCTCAAAGCTCCACTTTTTTGTCTAAGATCCTGGAGAAAGTTGTTCATAACCAACTGAATTCATATCTAAATGAGCATAAACATCTTGAGTCCTTTCAGTCTGGTTTTAAAACTCACCACAGTACTGAGCCTGCACTGCTGAACGTTCTTAATGACTTTTTTTTTAGTCACAGACACAGTGGACCATCAGATACTTCTGTCTCACCTAGAGAACTGTGTGGGCATTAAGGTTCTGCTCTACAGTGGTTTAGATCCTATCAGAGAGGAGCTTTTGTGTTCATGTCGGAGCAGTTGAGTCCTCTGTAGCACCACTCACATGTGGAGCACCTCAGGGCTCTATACTTGGCCTTCTTCTCTTTTCCATTTATTTACTCCCACTAGGATCCATTCTCCGGAAACATGGTGTCTCGTTTCATTTATATGCGGATAACACACAAATTTATTTTCCACTGAAAACAGGAAAAGCAATATTCTGTGAACCAACTCCTGGAATGTCTGGTGGTTGTCAGAGCATGGATGTCACTGAATTTTTTACATTTTAATGAACAAAAGACAGAGGTTGTGTTGTTTAAATCCAGTGACAGCTCTAAAGTCCAAGTTGATCTTGGTCCTTTAGCACAACATCTGACCAAGACAGCAACTAACCTGGGTGTTAAGCTGGACAATGATTTTAAACTAGATGTTCAGATTAAATCTGTGATCAAGTCCAGCTTTTATCACCTGAGACAACTGGGCATGGTCAAGCCATTTCTTTCTCCTCATCATTTTGAAATCTTGATCCATGCTTTTATCACAACTCGCTTAGACTACTGCAATGCACTTTATGTTGGGCTGAGCCAGTCGTTACGGTCTCGACTTCAGCTGGTTCAGAACACTGCCACTCGCCTTTTAACTGATACCAGAAAACGAGATCACATCACTCCTGTTTTCCAATCACTACATTGGCTCCCAGTTCATTTCTCATGAAATTACTTTTAAAGTTTTACTGTTTGCTTTTAAATGTCTGCATGGTCTTGCCCCAATGTATCTATCTGACCTGCTCCAACCTTACACTCCCTCTCGTGCCCTCAGGTCAGTGGATCACTTTCTGTTGGTCGTCCCAAAGTCTAAGAGGAGGCTGAGAGGTGATCAAGCATTTTCAGTCGTTGCCCCTAAACTGTGGAATGAGCTGCCTTTACACATCAGACAGGCTGACTCACTTCCTGTTTTTAAATCAGCTCTTAAAACACATTTTTTTCAACTTGGCTTTTAACTCAGTTTGAGATGTTGGTTTTGATGTTTTTGTTTTTATGATATTAGATATTGGCTCATTTTACTTAGTTTATTGTTTTGTGTATGTTTTATGTGTTTTTAATCATGTACAGCACTTTGGCCAATGGAGTTGTTTTAAAGCGCTTTACAAATAAAGTTGTACTGTACTGTATTACAACAACAAAGATAAACTGAAAATTTTAAAAATGAGTGGAAGGCTCTCCTCACCCTCCTCTGCAGTGGAAGAACCAGAATGTTGTAGTACAAAGTCTGAAGGTTCCGCTGGGGGAAGTAAGGCCACAGCAGCCTGGCCACGTCCTCGTGTTTGTACCTTCCTTCGGGTAAACCCGTCAGCATGACCGTGGAGTACACCGAGCCGGGGTGGAGAGTCGTCTGTGGAACGCCAAGTTTAAAAAATAAACACCTGAAACTTTTCTTATAATTCAATTGACTGACCAAACACAGTGAAAGAACAGATTTTTACATAAAAAAAGCTTAAAAGTACAGGAAAACGTGCTTACTGTTATGTCCTGTTTTTGTTGGATTGTCAAGAAATCTAGGAAATAAAAAGGAATGCATTCAGTTACCGTCATTTACAAAAAGCAAAGATCTAAAAATTTTTATTTTTTAAACCTGGGATGTTAAACCAGGGAGCTGCAGTTGAGAAAATGTAGGGATTTGTGGTCATGGTGATCCAGAACGGAGAAACGGTGCCCTGAGGAATGCCATATTTTGCGTTCGGTATTTGTGAGCCAGGAATGATGTCCTTCCTGTCGGGCAGAGCGCTCATCGCCAGCTTTGGTGCTGCTCAAAAGTAAGGAAAGAATTTGGTTTAAAAATATCTGTTAAAACTGAGTCCTTTTTTTAACCCAAGAGCAAAAGAGCTTGACGAACACAAGATTACTTCCAATATAACCTCTAAAATATAAATCTGTATTCTCTTACGTTTTGCTCTTTTGGAACTTCTCGGTAGCTTTATCCTTTCAAGTATGTGGAAGAAGCCTTTCTTCATGAAGCTGTAACAAACTCCGAGCCGATCGGCATCATAATCCGTCAAAAATTCAATAAAAACCTGAAACGCAGAGATGGCAGACGGTCGGGAACGATTCGTTACGTAGATTTCAACGTACGCCATGGACCCGTGGTTGTACCTTGTTGAGGAGAGGCAGGAAGTTCGTGACGCAACCAATTTTCTGCAAAACTTCTTTAAGGACGTCCATCTCGTTCGGAGAGATGTCCCGGATGTAGATCAGACTCGTTCCGTCTTCGACGCCGCTCTGTCTCAATAACAGCGAGGACAGAGACGTTATTTCAACCATAAAACCAAGAGAAATAACTGGATCTGAAACTGCCTAAATGAAAACGAGTGGTCTTGTAAAGAGTTGGGGTTTTATTGGGCGATCAGTAAATTAGGAGTTACTTACGAGAGGTGTTAGTTCCATCAAAGAGTTATAAAAGCCGAGCTGAAAGAGAGTGAAAAATGTCAAAATGCAGTTCAAAATCTGTTTAATTTTATTGTGCTTGGGTTTTATAATCATTTAATTCATTTTACAATCAAAAATATGACTAAAAGTACATTTTTGATCCATATAAAATTGATTCAATGATTTCAAAACCAAAACAATGCAATAAAGTCATAGTAGGCTGATTGGTTTTTCAGTCCAAAAAAAAATTACATAAATGCTATTTTACTGTTTTAATGAGGCAAGATCACCAAATATACATGAAATTAAAGAAACTAGATGTTTGACAGCAGATAATAGACTTTAATATAGAAATGAAGGACAGGTCATGTCTTTTAACATATTTTTGTGCAAAAAAAACATTTTTTTATTCTCAAATTTCAACATACTTTGTGATGAATCTATATAAGCTAAACATAACGCAGAATTTTCCTTTAGCTTACCGGAGTCATTAAAATGTTTTTCTTCACGATGTGCAAAATGAGTTCATGTGTCCCGAGGACGAGGCGCTTGTTAGCAGACGCTCTGATGATGTTCAACATCGAAAGCTCATTTGGCATGAGGGCGAAAGCCTGGAAGAAAAATAATTTAAAACCAAAAAAAAAAAAACACTCTCTAAACATATCCTGACCTCACAGACAAAACTCAGGATGAAAAACGGGTTCTTACCATGAACTTCTGAGGCATGACGTAGATGTTGTCGTGCTCATATCTAAACCCGTAGGGGCTGAGCAGATTCACGATGTCGCTCTCTGTGTAGTGACCCCTGATCATGTCCGGGAGGTTTGTTATTAGCAGCAAGGTTGAGTCAATGCTAAAAGGCTGGAGCAAATAATGAGTTTTAAAACGTTTTTATTCGACAATACATAAAAAATATTTAGGAGATGGAAACATATAAACTATTTTGTTGAAAGGGCTTCACAAAAACATTCCACAAATGAGTACACCTCCACTAAAACTAGTGCCGACTCCCGCATTCTAGTTCTTCTACTTCTGAACGTGGAGCAGAGATTGTAGCCAAGCAGCTACGATGAAGCATTAGCAATGTAACGCTATGCTACACACTACTTGGGCTTTTATTTTTCTTCGTCAAAACAAAACACCTTTCAGATGCATGTTTACTGCATGTTTATTTTTTTTTTGGTACCCAACTAATTCTCAAACACTGATTTATTTTATTTATTTATTTACCGTTATTTTACCAGGCAAATCCCATTGAGATCTCAGATCTCTTTTTCAAGGGCGGCCTGGGCCTGAAGGCAACCTATTGTACATGTTTTTGTGTTGTGGGGGAAACCGGAGTACCCGGAGAAAACCCACGCAAGCACGAGGAGAACATGCAAACTCCGCACAGAAAGACCCCACCAATTTATGGTGTATCTGTTGGACTACACTAT